AGTTGCAAGTTTATAGTCTGTGGGGTGGTTTGCATCTTCATTTTTGTAAAGCCTTTCCTATGGTATGGCAGACAACTAAAAGGTATTGTGTATGTGAGGATCATGAAACGTGTTTGAAAGGCCTCCAAAGTCTTCAGCAGGCAATACTGTGTTCCATTAAAAAAACAAGAACAAAACCAACCAACCAAACCAACAACCTTTTACATGGAACTTGCACAAGAGAAATAAATTCCTTACAGAGAAAATGTGTTGGAAGACCTCTTTATTGTAACTTGGATCAATAAAGAGAGTACTTTCTAGCCATCACTTTGCTAGAGGAGAGGAACCTCATGAAAAGCATGATATGATGATGGCTGTCCTTTGGTAGTTGTTAAGTGTAGGAACTTGTACTCACTCTGAAACTTGGGGGATACATTGTATTTTTACCAGTTTATTTTCTCTTAGGGCTTTATTTACTCAGTCCTAGAATAAAATTTGGTCTGATTTTGCTGATGGGCTTGTCTTCTGCATTTGTTAAGCCTGCTCTTGTCTTCAGTGTTTATCAAAACTATTTCAATTAGTGCTGAATTAATCAGTTGTCTGATTCCCACAGAGACAAACCTTGAAACCATAAGTTATTTTTACCTGCTGGAGATGTTCTGCAATTGGTATTTTGCTGGAGCAGCATATTTGTGTTTGAGGCTTCTAACTGATCATAAATGCAGAAATTTAAGGTTAATTGCTTTTTGACTCTGGATATAAGCAAATATTGTTTGTGGGTTGTGGTTTTTTTTTTTTCCTGTCTGTTGGTGGGTATCTAGTGACAACCACTATCTACTTAGTGAGAAGTGTAGGGGGAGCCTACATGATGGACTTGCTGGTGCTCGTGTTCTCATTAGTTGTAATGGCAAGAAAATGGAGTGGCCAGTGTCCTGGAGTTGCACAAATCGCTTTTGTGTTCCTAGGTTGAACTTTCCCAGATGTTGTTGATGAGCTGTCACTTGAGATTCCCTACCCAGTCAGTATCTTTGGAAGTGAGCATTGCCCATTCCGAAGGTCCAGTGGTTTGCTGTGTTACAAGCCTGAAGGCTCTTACAAAAAGAGGTATCTAAAGATGGAAGACTGTGCTGTCGTGAAAGAGAAAATGAGCATCACACTGATTTGGAAGTCAATGTGACAAACATCATGCTGTAGGAAAGAAGTGTAATATGGAGGCACTCTGGCAAGAGCAATGTCTGTGGAACAGCTGAATTGTTTGATGAATTACCGTAAGGCGTGTAAGTGTTGCCTTATGTTTCTGTCTGGCTCAGGACTCAGTGGGTGTCCAGAAATCAATTTCAGTATTTTCATTAAATTACAAGCAGACTTCAGATCTAAAAAATTTAAGTGTGTGTTGGAGAGAATGTTGCTTGGGAGGAGATGGGGCAAGTCTTCATTTTCTTTTTATTTCTAAAATACGCATGACCTTGCACATAGGTGAACCCAGTGATTGTGGTGTGTGGTTTCCAAGTTCAGGAGAAAATTTGGCCTTCAGATGTGCTCACCTTTGTATGTATGTGTAAAGAAAAAAGAGGAACAAAACAGCTTAGTAAATGTCCGAGGTTTTTCCTCAGTTATCTGAAAGTTAACATTACATCATCTGCACAGATATAAATACAGAATCATAGAATCATAGGTTGGAAAAGACCTCTAAGATCGAGTCCAACCATCAACCCAACAACACCATTCCTACTAAACCATATCCTGAAGTACCCCTTCTACACATTTTTTTAAAAACCTCCAGGGATGGTGACTCCACCACCTCCTTGG